CGCATTTGAAGTTGGCTTCAGGACGGCCCTCAGCCGCCGCCGCTGCGCTGCTGCTAGCTGTGGTTATGAGACGGAAAATGGCCAGTTCGGCGCACACAGTCTTGCCGCTGCCCGTCGGTGCAGCAATGAAAACGTTCTCGTCGGAATTGTACAGGGAATTGAAGACCTAAAGCGAAAGCACAGATAGAAGTGTTAAGGATTAGATAAAGCCACGGGTTTTTCCCAATTGCATTGGGTTCCGTGAAAAAAAGTGGCGTTGACAAATAGGAGGATGTTGTAGATTCTGATCAACGACGTTAAACAGACCCGCGGTGGTTAAGCATCTAGTTATTTCTGGTTTTGGGGCTCGGCAAAAAAGCAGCAATACAACTTCCCAAGACGGAATACATCTAATAAAGACACAACCTTAGCCGGTACTTATGAGACGGGCCTCGCTCCCCAGACGTAAAAGCATTCATTAAAATGAGATACTAACAGCGGGCAATCCGGACAAAATGCACAAATTCGCGTCGTATTTGCTGCTGACCGAGAACAGTTGAAGTCGTAGATACGATGAGGTAGGTTAGCTTTCTAAAGATGGCGTGATCAACGGGTGCTCGTGCCAAACAAGTAACCAACTGATGCAAAACGGCTACAATTAGCATCATTTACGCACCACTTATACAGTCTTATGAAACCTTAGTCACCACACTAAAACTCATCGCTAGCCGGACGACATACTAATGGTGTGTGTCAGAGGGACTACAGTCGAACCGTATTTTTTTCATTCATAGAGCTTCACTTCACAAAGAAGAACAACAAATCACGGTTTGGAAGGTCGCCAACTGGCGGTATAAATTGGTTTCCCTTTGGAACAATTGCCAGACAGCAAGGATTCCTCATATACGGACGGCTCGTGGGTCCCGATGCGAGGGCTACGGCAGATATGGCACAGCACTATCAGAAGTCTAGTGAATAAGGGTTTGAATAATCTTCACTAGATGGGCCACTGCGGTTGTTTCACTGCAGTCACCATAGGCAACTCTGATTTAAGGAAAGACCCGAATCCAAAAATTCTGAACACAATTACCGTTAATGAAAGTTAGTGAGCATTTCATTCAATCAATGGCGAGTACAGCGAATAGCGCGGTCTTCTGCGGACTATAATTGGTTGAATTCGACTAGGCTTCTGTGATTTTTGCGACAAGGTTTTCAATAGATTCTTCCCCAGCTGTAAATCATGGCCACACTCTCTCCTAATATTCATCCGACTCGTAAGAGCGTTGCTCACTTGATAAATTTTAGGTTGGTCGACGATCAGCGTGGACAGGGCCACCGAGTGTTTCGGGTTTCTACCGTTAAATTGTGACTGAGGTAATAAAGAGGGGACCCGGATGCTGAGCCCATCCAGAGTGTGAAAATAGCGTTCTAGTTTGCTGTTTTATCGAAGTAAATAAGCGCCGTATAAGGGGAAAGCCAGTTCCTAGGGAAAAAACCCCAAGGGAATCAGATAAAAACTATGATATTGCAGGCAAATTGGTCATACCTGTGTTTGGATGGGGTTGAAGACACGAACATGATCAGTGTAGAGGGCCTCAAACTCTTTGTTTCGCAGGGCAGTAATGGGCAGCGGCTGCAAATCAAGTAGTTCTGTTGGCGGCGCGGTTTTCTCCGGCAGCAGAAGGTGCCGGAAAGAGACCGGCAGGGTAACCTCTCCACCAATCCACCGGTCCGGCACCGCGCGAATGTAGTAGTGAGGTGGCAGAGGGTCAAAAATGGGCACGGTGAAGTGTAGGACATGCTCCTCTGTGGCATAGCGCTGTTTGAGGATGAAGAACTCATGGTGCAGAATAGTGTCCCCATCTACATCCTCAACAAAAATCCAAAAGGCCTGCACAGTACCATGTGTCTTTTCGTCCCACACAAAGTCCGGCGTGAGAGTGAGCTCCACCCGCAGGACAGACCGTGTTACGGGCTGGACATGCACACTCATTTCCAGGCGAGGCAGCTGATGCAAATACTTGTGCAGTGGCTTGCCCAGTTTAGGTGCACGCACCAGTTCACCCAGTTCGTGGTGGTTCATATCAGTTAGGCGTTCAAATGGAAGGGCCTTCTTCTCAAGTTTGCGGATCACTTCATCAGGCAGTTTCTTAAACTGCCGTAACGGGCACATTGACTCCCACATTCGGCGTTCAATCATCTTGGCCAGAGTGAGAGCGTTGTCGGCCAATTCAGCCCAGCCCTTATGTAGCACAATCTCGAAGAGCGCTCGCATCAGTCGACCAGCAGACTGTGCGATGAAGACCATATCGGAGACGAGGGAAAAGCCTTCCAATTTTAGACCGGATATGTAGGCCTGAAGAAGGCAGTTTACCTTAGCGGCGGGCTCCTCCGCAGATTCTTTAATTGGAATGGGCACGCGTTCAAGGAGTTTAGCAAGCTCGAAGCGTTCTTCCTGGCGAACGTTAATGTGCTTGAATTCCGAACTGGCCGCAAAGACTCGGAAGAGTTCAATCTCGCCCAGACCGGGACGAAGGAGCTTGTTGTAGGAACTGACGGTTTCATGGGTGAGGTAAAAATGGGAAGCAATACGACCCAACTCCGTGGACTCAAAGCTGCCAGATTTGCGTTCGTAGGTGATGAGTTGACAGCGCTCCAAGGCCATCGCGGCGGTATGGATGAGATCGCGACGCCGCTGTTCCAGCCAGGGATCACTGTGTTCACTACCTGGTGGAACGCCGTAAAGGGCTGGTTGACGCAACATTCGTATGTAGAGGTAGGTATACCCGAGCCAGGTTACGGCCTCCCGCACATTTGACACAGTGCCGAGGACTATCTCGGCGTTGAGAAGGTCTGGTAGGCGAGAAACAAGCTGACTTTCAATGGGCAGCTGCTGGTTCATGAGACTAAGGTAGTACTGCAGTTCGGTGTGGTTGGTGAGAAGAATACCCTCACCCTTGGTATCGTATTGTGGTCGACCAGCACGACCGAGCATCTGCATGACGTCCAGCGAACTAAGTTCTGTCCATTTGCCCTTTTCAGGATTGTAAATCTAGAGAAGATGGAAACAAAAAAGAGGGAAATAGAAGACTGCAGGAGAAAAAATAACTCTAAGTGAAGTCAAGCTGGTGCGGGCGTTCAAAGAGAATAAGAAAAACCTTTCAGTGCTGGGTCGAACAAAAAAGGATGAAAATTGGGACACATTTGTAGGCAGCAGATCTAAGTGGAAGTGAACTAGATTGATCGATAGATGGGTGCAGTTAAAAATGCCGGGCGCCTACGTAAACGAAATTCTGTCTAGGTTACTGAAGAGTTCACGTGTTTCTACTAACTGCTTATTAGTAGCCAGAGTGTATTCGGACAGCGTTTTGTGCCTGCTTTCCCGTCGGTCAACTCTTTTTGTCTACCCTTGTAGTGGTGGGCTAATTCCGTGGTTATTGTGCAGGGTGTGTTATCAAATCCCCTCAAATGGAGGTCCATCTTTGGATTCCTATCTCGTTTGTAAACTGTGTTACACTGTGCTAAAGGTAGCGTCTAATGACATTGCCCCCGAACTCGGGTGCGCTTGTGGTAGGGGAGAGGTCAGCAAGATACCGAACCACCGAGTGAGCATTGACAGTGGATTTGAATTAACCAGTGCGAAGAGTTCAACGTTTCGGATAAGAGCGTACATGCGAATTCGGGCAAGCATATAAGACTATTAAAAATGCATACTATTTAATGAAGGTTTTGGCAGATTTGAATAATTCATTTGACTCAATTGTGAAAAAGTTTGCGGCGTTCGTTGGATTCGAAACCAAGGCTTGAGTAAAACGAACGTTCTAACCGGCTGACCTATAAGACCCCACCGGGAGCCGTGAACCTAAATACAGTTGGGTCAAGCTAGGTCTATCGCAACTTGTGGAATCCACCACTTCTGATACACTGACTTGACTGCCCAAACAGAATTCCCTAAGTAATAAATATAGAATCCACCCGATAACTATCAGGCACACTTAATAGGAACTTTTGACACATTTGAATAATAAGGTTGACCCAAATATAAAAAACTCGACATCCTTATGCATGTGCCTCAAAAAGACCGGAGGATTCTCGTTCGGGCAGTCACGAGGCAACCAACAATTTTACGTGTGTCTCCACGAAAAGCATTCTTGAGGCATTCAAGAACAAAATAGCATTCTCACCTGGGTCCCCTTGATGATAACCGTGTGCGCGGGCAAGTTGACACCCCAAGCAAGAGTAGCCGTGGACACCAGGACCTGAATGTGACGATCGGCAAATAGATCCTCAACCAGCGTACGGTCGACGCGACTCATGCCCGCGTGATGCATACCGAAGCCGTAAGGCAGGAGATCCTTCAGCTCCAAGTTTTTCACCTGCTCAGCTTCCTGACGCAGAACCTCTGTGGAGGCGTTCTTGTCCTTCATGAAGAGGCCCAGGGTATCCTTCTCCAAGCACATATCGCGAACTGCGCGTGCCGTCT